AATTTTGAAGGGTATATTGAACACCATTTACAAAACATACTCCTATCCACAAAAGTGAAACAATTTTTAAATTAACTTTTAAAAAAAAATTCCTCTATTTCAAATATAAGGGTCCTTTCTAGTCGTATTGTAGTAACAAGTGGTCTGGGAGTCAAGAGGCTAGGTTAGTCCGTTCCAATACTAACAGGAAGGTGACCATTCTAGCCACTGTTCTCTCCTCACATGAGCAAATTAACTATCAGGTGACTCATTTATTTCTTCAGGGCCACCATCCTGTGGACAGCCAGAGTCCTCAGTTTTAAGGTGTCCAAATCTCTCCTGGGATTTCCCGTCTATGCATAACCTGCCTGGCACATGACAGATAAGGTGGTACCCGACGTGCATGCTTGGTATGGACTTAGGAGGAACTCAGTACATGGTACTTTCTTAAACATTACAATAAAATCTACTTAGGCTTTTTTTTTTAAATATTTATTTGAGAGAGAGCACGAGACAGAGCACAGAGCACAAGCAGTGTGCTTGTGGGGGAGAAAGGCACAGGGAGAAGCAGACTCCCCACTGAGCAGGGAGCCCGATGTAGGACTCGATCCCAGGACCCTGGGATCAAGACCTGAATCGAAGGCAGATGCTTAACCAGCTGTGCCACCCAGGTGCCTCTGAATTCACATTTATACTTAATTTTCTGTTCACACTAAAATTGAATAAAAGTAAATTAGAGATTCTGTATTTACTTTAATTATAAAGCAATGAAATTACCACAATTTAATCATAAGTAACTTAAATACAATAATGTGTGATGACTTTGAAAACATTATAACAAAATAATAGAAAACAAAATTAACCGAGTGAACTAGTATTACATTCTGGGCATTTCTGTGACAGGACACAAATTTTAAAATTTAATAAAATCCTACATTTTCTTTTTTCCCCCTCACCTCTCCCTTTTTTTTAAGTTTATTTTACCTTGTAGCAATCCATCGTAGGGCTCGAACTCATAACCCTGAGATCAAGAGTCTCATGCTCTTCCGAATGACTGAGCCAGGTGCCCCAATCCTACATTTTCTTAGCAAAAAGTTTCTTAAATCAGATTTTCCTTTCAAACTGGTCTTCATATCTTAATTGGAGCTTCTTCTGAAGAATCGCTTTATTAACACTTGCAAATGTCCTTTTAACACATACAATGTGTACTATATGTTGGAATCAAATACTTGAAGAAGTTGGAATCTTATGAATACAGCCAGGACAACAGTGAAGAGAGTCGTGAACAAAAACATCACAGTCCACACAGAAAACATTTTGGCACACAGCACAAACATAGACCTGCAGTGAAAAGAAGAAAAGAAAATTTAGAAAGTAGTTTCCAGAAGTACAGCACAGCTAGAAGACATTCAAATTGCTTTGCTCTTTTATCGATCAATTTTCCCCACCCATTTACCTACTTTATTACTTCCAATGTACTATTTATTCTCAAATCTAAGGTGACTATTTTACCAAAAAAACTATCCCTTACAAATGAGAAAATTACTTTGACACCTTAACGTCTCTTGTATTGTAAAACATCCTTAATTACTTTGTTTTAAGTAATTATCCGGGGAAGACACATAAGCTTGAAATTAGTACTAGTTTCAAATGCTTATTCGTTCCTCTGATTTGATTAAAAAGAAAAACATAAATCTTTAACACAGATTTAGTTATTGCTAGGGAATGACCTCACAGCTGTACAAGTTATATTCCCCTTTTATTTAACTATTAAAGAATATGGAAAAAGACACATTTAAGACAAAAAGAAAAAATCCATTTTATCTCTACCTACTGTTATCATACTTCTGAGGAATAACCCGATATGAGCCTGGTTTTCAGTAATGTACTGAAAACTTCTAATGCTATTTCCTCAATATTTCTTGTATAATACTTAATATTTATTTATCTTTTTTTGTAAAATATTTTACTTATTTATTTGTCAGGAGAGAGCACACAAGCAGGGGGAGAGGCAGAGGGAGAGGGAGAAGCAGGCTCCCCGCTGAGCAGGGAGCGCGACATGGGACTCGATCCCAGGACCCCAGGATCATGACCTGAGCTGAAGGCAGATGCTTAAACAAAGCTTAACCAAAGCCACCCAGGTGTCCCAATACTTAATATTTAGAAAGCACACGAACTTACATGTTGGTCTTTCAATTCCCCCTGACATCCATAACAAAATCTGAAAAAGAAAGTTTAAGAATCATTTTGTTAGGAATTCACTCCTTAAAATAGCTCGGCAAAATCTCAATAACAAGAATCCTGTAATTAATAAGTAATTATCTTCACACATGACTTTTATGAGAAAAACAGAATTAAGAATACCAATAACTTAAAAAAATTCTACAGTATATCCCAAGATCATCTCACAAAGCAAAATCCTACTTTAAAATTTTTTTTTAATTTTATTTTCATCAAGGTTAAATAGGAGCATGATTTCCCTACTGGGATTCTGTGAGGGAATTAAGCCCTACAGAAAATAATCTGAGTGACTATTCAACTCTCCTGAGAACAGCAGGTAGCTGGTATAATTCTAGATGGACAGAAGAGAAGTTAATTTATGTGTGGTTACCTGAGGGCTTAATTTTCAAGGAATGGTTTAAAGAGTTAAAAGTTCTCAAGACTTACTACAAAAAATAGCGGCCTTCTCCTTACCAACCCCACTTCATTTCCAGCTCCCCGAACACTTTCAAAACTTTTAACTGTTACAGTGCTATTTCTTGTGTTTTTCTGGCATTGGCTATAAACCTCCAACTAAGGAAGATCAGAATTTAATTCTCTTTCAAACCTCTTGATCCAACAGCATGTACACACACATAACTAACGCCATTCTCAATTCTTTCTGTGTACTAAAATCATTTTGAATAGAAAAATATTAAATGTTTAGTTTATTATGACTATAAAAACATATTCAGCTGAGCCATGTAATACAATTCTTCTTCTCTTCAAAATATTTTTTTCCTGGAGTTAATAACTATACTGTTGTCCACAAGCTTAGTTTTCTATAAAATTACCCCAACTCAGCCTCAACCTTTCCCTGAGAAATCTAAATGTCGTCCCTATGGTCACCCACATCAAGAGTTCTAGTTTTCACCCTCTTGGTGACATCTCTTCTGCAGCATTCTGACCTTCTCCAAACTGGACTATTCTCCGCATCTGACACAAAAGTGTTATTCTGGAATCTCCCCTTATCATCATCCTAGGGCTTTCTTAAGCCACGTTTGAACTAGATCAATATTCCTATTCTCTTCCAGTCATTCTCTTTCTCAGGTCCTTTGAATCATCTCTTCCACAGCTTCCCCAGAGTCTCTTTTTGAGGCCTTGTAAATCTGAAAATGGCTTCATTGACTTAACTGATAGGTTTGCTAGGTATGTAATTTAAGTTGGTAATAACTGAAGGAAATCACTTCCTGGCAGTAGCCAGTATTGCTGAGACACAAAACAATTTTAATTCCAGATTATGTGACCTAATTTTCCCTCTCCAGAAATGTTTAGTTTTTTGCTGCCTATTCTAAAATTTCACAATGATACACTTTAGTGTGGGTTTATTTTCCCTATGTTAGGCACCTGACAGTTCCTTTCAGTCTATAAAGTTCTGTCCTTCAACAGTAGACAATATCCTTAACTATTTCTTACCTACTCTTTGTTTGATCTTTTCTCTGTTTCTCTAACTATTCTAATACTAGACCTTCTGGATAAATCCTCTGGTCTTACACCACAGAAATCAGGTAAGGTTGCAAACCAGGACTGTTTTGTTGTTTTAAAGAGCTGATTTATCAGTATTTGACTACGCTTACTATACAGAGATGGGCTTAGGGAAATTAATAGATTTCTGGAGATCCAGATCTGTTTAATAATGAGTCACTTCAGTCACAACCAAGGCATTCTACCATCTCATTTTCCAAATTACAAGTAATCTTGCCCAAGTTAATATGACTATCTTTTTTAATGTAGTAACAACACATTCAAACATTATTCTACCACATATAACAGATATAAATTAATCAAAATTCATATACTTTTCTCCATTATGTTCTTCTAGAGGAAGTTCTCGAAAAGCATCCAAAGGAAATAAATGATGGTAAGACCGTGCCAAATGCGGAGCAGACACCAAAGTAAGACCTAACAAATAAAGCAGAGAATCATGTTTAATAGCCCAAACCTCATTAAGACAATGGCTGACAAGTCAAATAATAGGCTAAATATTTTCAAGGTTTTTTTAGGACTGCTGGTATTGATTTCTTCATTTACATATCACCTTAAAAAGGAGATTCCAGGATGGAGTCTTACTTCTGTCACTAATTGTGTGACCTCTCTTGGCCATTTGCTTACTTAAAAATGAAACAAAATTCTACAATTCTATCACTTTAATTCCTCATTGTCCTTATATATATTTTATGAACGTTAAGAGCTACAAAAATGTCTACTAGATCTACAGCAAAGCCTTTAAAGAACATACTCATTTCAGAGGGAGAATCAGAAAACTGTTCTAGAATGCCATGTTTATTCTTAGAAATGGAGTACTGGGTACTCAATAAAAAAAATAATCCTTTCCTATTCTCACAGATTAAATTCATAAATATAGGCAGAGCTTAACATTTACATTTACTTTATTAGCAATATAGGTAAGAAGTTATTCAAGATTAATTTACTAGATAAAGAACAGTTGGTTTCTCACCACAGATTTTACATTCAACTGGAAGCTCACAGTACTTTGCCCGACACTGTGGGCAGAAATACCCTCCTAATGTAAGTCCTGGCTCAGTGTTGCTATCCAAGTGCCTGTGGGAGGAAACAGTACTTTTAAAGTGATATATAAAGATGGGAATGGTTATAGCAAAACAAAGTATGCTACCTTGATTTTAAAATCTTGAAGTTGTTTCATAGTTCATTTAAGCGAGGTTCATTCTTCTTTTCTCTCTGCATTTGTTTTGAATAGTGTGTATTAATTTTTTTTTTTTTTTTTTTTTAAGTAATCTCACACCCAATGTGGGGCCCGAACTCACAACCCCGAGATCAAGAGTTGCATGCTCTTCCTACTGAGCGAGCCAGGGGCCCAAATTGCACTAATGTCCTTAAATTCACTCATCTTTTCTTCAGGGACTCATCTGCTGTTAGTCCCATCCAGTATATTTTTCATTTCAGATACTGTATTTGTCTCTAGAACTTTGATTTGGGTCTTTTTTGTAATAGCTGTTTTAATACTTTGCCTAATTCCATCAACTGTGTTGTTTCTGAGTATGTTTCTGTTCTATGATTCTCTCCTTATTATGGGTCATATTTTCCTACTTCGTTGCATGCCTGGTCATTTTTGATTTGCTGCCAGACATTATGATTTTTCTTTGTTTTAGGTGCTGGATTTTTTGGTATTCCCTTAAATATGTTGGGGCTTCTTCTAGAATATAGTTAAGTAACTTGGAAATAGTTTGATCTGTTCAAAACTTGCTTTAGAGTTCATTAGGCTATCCAGAACAGCTGTTAGTCTAGGGTTAATTTGGTTCCATTACTGTGGACTGTGTTCAATGCCCACTGTTAAGATATCCCTCCACACTGACTGGTAGGACCATGAACTGTTCCCTGCCCCATGTGAGCTCCAGGGATATGCTGCCTGCTCCTATTCAGGGGTTCTTTCCTTGGTCTCTAGTAGCTCCCACACAAATGTGATGATCATAACTCAGCTGATGACTCATGGGGAAGTCTCTGCAATCTTGAGAGCTTTCTGTACAGCTCTTTACTTTCTAGCACTGTGCGTGGAAAACTACAGCCATTTCAGCCTCCCCAAACTCTGAACTTGGTTTCTTCACCTGACCAAGACCTCCAGGCTCTGGTTGGGTTTTCCCTCCCTGCACTGCAGCCTGGAAATTCTCTCGAGGCAGTAAGCCACACTCACAGGGCCCACCTCATTTGTTTCCCTGCCTTCAGGGATCATTACCTGCACTGCCTGTTGTCCACATCTGAAAATCATTGTTTCATACATTTTGTCTGGTTTTCTGGTAAGAGGGAGGACAGTACATTCAGTCCCTATGGTACCTTTATAGCTGGAGACACAACTCTTATTTGTGATTTTTAAGAATTACTTTCTTTAATTTTGTTTTATAATTATGTAAACTATAAAGCTCTAAAGTTAAAGCAAGGTATGTTCAGAAAGGTCTAGGAGCCATCCCTTTGCCTTTCTCCACGTACTGCCCAAGTAAACATTTTTTCAGTTTTTACTTTTTATTTCCATTACTATTTTTATCATTAATATAAACAAGTATGTATATCCAGTCAAATCTCCATCCTCTTCTTAGATGAGTGGCAGCATACAATACACTTTTCTCTACTTTGCTGTTTTACTTAGTAACAGATCCTGAGGATTACTACACAGGAGTAAACGGAGATAGTCCTCACTCCTTGTTACAGCTATATAGAAGGCAACCTTTTTACAAAAGCCATTACACCCCAAGCCCATATAACTCAGTTTATATTTTTTAATTTATAACTTATAGGAAAGAATTAAAAATGTCAAACATAATCACTGAGAGTTTCAAGGTTTTTACTTACGCCATGCTGAAAGAGGGTTTTGCATCTTGATCAGACAGAGAAGCAATGGTATGCTGGGGAAATCCTTCATAGAAGAAAATGTGTTACTTTCTTTTTTCAAGCAAATAGCAAAATTGTTGGATTAGGAACCTAAAAATGTTCCTACCAGAAAGCCCACAAAGTTGTACAAAAGTTCTCTCTCCTGCCTTTCAGATTTGTTTACTACAGTATGGTCAGGCTGACTGTAATTCCAGGTTATGAGAAAAATTAAAAGTGGAGAATGTGGGGGAAAGATCTGTCCATACATATGGTTGCAGATTCTTAAGTTTATAACTATCTAATTTAATACAACACACACTGCTTTTTAAAAATAAAATGTTTGTAATTTTTAAATACTTCGGATACATTGGAGTAATCTATTACATAGATGTCCACTTTCATTTTATATAAGAATATACTTCTATGCTTAAAATTTTGGAATGCCTAAACCCATAGTTTGTTTTCCATACATATTTTTCAAATTCTGACAACACGTCCAAGAAAAGCAAAAACAATAAAAAAAAAAAAAAAAGATTTCACTACATAAAAATTTTAAGTCTATCTATATAGCAAAACAAATAAGTAGGGGTGCGTGGATGGCTCAGTTGGTTAAGCATGCAACTCTTTTTTTTTTTTTTTGTCATGATCTCAGGGTCGTGAGATCAAGCCCCACATAGGGCTCCACGCTGAGCATGGCGTCCACTTGAGATTCTCTCTCCGTCTCTCTCTGTCCCTCCCTAAGGTTGGTGCGCACACTCCCTCTCTCAAATAAATCTTTTTTTTTTTTTTAA